CAACGGCAGACGGCGCCATTATAACTCATCTACCATATCGTAATCATTCACCAATCTTCTTTAATTAAAGATTTTGCGAATATCGCAAAATAGTATCGATCTTTTATGGTCACTTCAACATTCTAGGTTCCCACAAAAATTGCGGAAAAGGATCTGGACATCCTGCATAAATGTGTGCTGTTTCTTTTTACCAAATTTAGTGAAAAACCTAACCATATATGTGTCGAAATACTTCCGCAAACTTATTGTATTTTTAAACCTCTAAATTCAGTTGTAAAGCTATAGCAAACCTTGAAATTTTTCTGAACGGGACAAACACATGTTCGGTATATACACTCCCCTCAGAAAGAGTGTTAGACTTTTATTCGTGAGTTTAAGAACGTTTCCGTCTTGTCCAATGAAAGAATTCTTCCAATAGAAAACAGATCCTTCCATTGGACAAGGCGGATAAAAGTTATAAATAAAAATCTGACATCCTTTCTGAGAAGGCGAGTACATATCGAACGTGTGTTTGCTCCCAAGAAGATTTCAAAGAATATTGTTATATCTTTACAACTGAATTTGGAAGCTTAAAAATATACGAAAATTTTGGATAGTAGATCTTTTTATATATACTCTACTACTTTTATAATTCTTTTTTTATTGACCTATGTTGATCAAGTAAATATTATATATTTACGCTAGTTAGCAGCTCGAAATGTTAATTCTAAAATGTTTCATCGTTTTTGTCATCTATTGAAGAATGCTCCGATTAATTCTTGCATGTGTTTTCATTATGTAAAAGCTTTCGCAATTCTATGTAACCAGTACGACGTAGAATTTGCAGTAAGAAATCAGTATTTTGTTGGTAAAGTTTTTAAGTGTAGCATCCCCTCTCAACTACACTAAAGAAGTATGATTATGGAGAGAAAGTAAATTCCTCGAAACGTAATATCTGACGCAGTCATATTCCACTAAAACCGCTGTAATGACAGCTCTCTCGATATCGTTTACATTAACGCACTTTCTGATGTGTACAATTTATTCGATAAAGGTAAAGAAATAAACTTGGAGTGTAAAGGTTCGTAAAAAGAGGACTTGGCGGCATATTTCGTCATTTGCTTTATACGCGGCAAGAGTCATCACGGTAGACGAGAAATTGAGAGGGAAGCTGCTGCTTACTGCTGCTGCTGTTGCTGCTACTGCTGCCGGTGCTGCGCGTTTGCAATTAGGACGAAGGCGAAGACTCCAGGCTACTCATTAACTCCGGTATGAACCAGCGAGCGAAACGCATCAGAGGGCTAAAGTCGAAGAGGTAACAAGCTGGCATCCTCCAGTCCGCGCCGTCATCCGCTACGTTCCTTTTATTTCGCCGGAGTGTCGCCGGCAAATCTTATTTAAGGCAGATTTATCGTCGCTCGGCTCTGAGATCGAGGTAGGATATTACGCCGGACCCGGATGCGCCATTCACAATGCGACTTCTCGACTCAAAAAGTGTCATAACTCAAAACCTGAGCGCCTCTTCGAGCACTTCCGCCGCTCCAGCACATCGTGTGCCAGAATCCGTCCTCTTGTCCCCGTCTCTGTTCCACCCGAACCACCTCTTACCCCTCTCTCATTCTACCTACTGTTCTATTCCGTTCCACTATAAAGTGAAAGAGCAAATGGAGTCTTCCGCTTTTTGTTAATATGTGCGAGAACCACTCGACGGTGTCAAGCGTTGTGCGAATTTTTCGGCGTATCGCTATTTCATCGCGATGCTGCGAAAAGCGTCGCGTTTGAGTTTTTTGATGTCGCATAACTCACAGAGAATCGTTAAAATTGTATAATTTGCTCAATGTCGGATGGAAGCGAGTAGAGTAATACAGTTTACGATAACTCGTATGTAAAAGGGGTGAAATCGCGATTGAGTGTCTTTATAGTATAAAATTGGTATAAAATATAAATATAGTATAAAATGGATATTAAAATGGATATTTGAAGAAGAGACTTAGATGGAATGCGAAAATCGCACAAGTGACCAAGACGCAACAAATAAAGAAAAACTGATATCGATAAATATTCAGATTAGGTCACATTTCATCGAATCTTTTCTTTTTTTATATGTTGTAGGGAAAAAAGAGTTGAAAGAGACTTTAAGGAAAAACCAAAGTGAGGGATAACATTGATTATCGATATATAAAATTAAATTAAAAAATTGTAATGTATTCTCCGAGGTATTATAAGTTAAGGATATAAACAATATATTTATATAGGCTAGTTTCAATGAGTACATTATGGGATAAACATAAAAGTAACAAAAGAAGGATCTGTCTGCAGATTATGTTAAACCCCATATACCATTATTATCTCTGATATATATATATATATATATATATATATATATATATATATATGCTTCATAATGTACAAATAATATCTTGTATATATATTACATATACATTTCATATATATATATATATATGTGTGTGTGTGTGTGTGTGTGTGTAAATTGAGTATACATTACGATATATAGTATGTATCTAATACATCTACATTGATGTATATACCTTACATGATATCGACCGTATATTCCATGGATATATATAATTAACGTATTTAGATATATTATATGTGTGTGTGTGTATCTGTGTGTGTGTGTGTGTGTGTGTTAAAGAAAATTCGTAATACGTATGTTATTGGTATTATGTGAAATTCAAGTATTGTATGGAATACTTAAGCACACATTCTACAGAATGCCTATCAGTTTTTAATGTAATGTTTTTAAAGCCTAGGTATTTCATACATAATATCTAAGTATTCTATAATATTTTATAATACTAAGTATTCTATACAATGTCGGATTTCTCACTTGCTGATAACATATACAATATTTATTATATGAATATTTATTATATACATACGTCCAGCGTGTATATGTACACGAATACACTATAATACATAATATATATACGAGTGTTAAAAAAATGGATTAGAGACTTACAGAGAGAGAAAAAGAGAGAGAGAGAGAGATTAGATAGTCCATTCTACTGAGTAACAAATATTTAGTAAACATAGATCGAAAAATTAATCTTTATTGTATTATCTATATTAGAGTTACAAATGTTTTTCAGTATTAGTAACGCAAATTAGTATTAGTAATGCATATTTGCATTTGCTTCTATTAATCACAGGCGGTGAAGTAACGAACGAATATCTTACTATATTATTATTTTATTATTTGATTTACTTATTACTTTATTATTTGATATTCACGAAAAAAATGTCCTCTACATATCCTCTATCCGCTCTTACATTTTTATATTAAAAATTGCGAACTCTTTCAAAAATTCCTAGTCTTCTTCGAATCAGGTCAGCTGCATTTTAGATTTTTCTATAATTCTTCTATATTATTTATCGTTGAAGAATACACTAAGTTTTTAATGTATCTTCATGAAAAGAAATCCAGCTCAACTTGGGAGATCGAGAAGGCCATATAATTGTATAGAAATAAAACTCATTCAAAGAAGATCAAAAATTTTTTAAAGAAAACATGTAAATGCTTTTTGTAAACATCCTAGTAATAATTTAATAAAATACTCATTTGTTCATATATCAGACGTGATTAATAGGAACATACAATAACTTGCGTATATACGTAAATTTATATATATATATATATATATATATATATATATATATAAAATTAACAAAAATTAACAAATTTAATATACATATATAATATTTGTATTTGTAATGTATATTGATCGTGTATATATGTCCACATATTTCGTAAACATTTTATGTATATTATTATTTTCTTTATCTACAAAATCTCATCCTATTCGTCTACGGTTACTCATTTTTTTATTGAATGTAGTCAACTACTATTTAATCTCATTGATTGGACAGGAACTAGTTATGCAAACAAGTTATGACAATAACGTTATGGTTTATATTTATAATGTATTTATAATCGTTTAGCAAATATTGTAATGCTATACTTACCGAAATCATAAACATTAATAGCCGGTATATATGTGATTGATATGAATAGAATGTGTATTATCGAAACAGTCACATTATTATTGTTTCTGGATTCTTATGTAAAGTATATACCAAAATGGATGTACATATTTTATGTAATATAAAATGTATATATACATAGAATATATATTCTATATTTAAAGGCTTTGTGAGTCTACTGAACAATTTATTCACATAAATTCATTTCACCTTCATCTATCTACGTCACCGTACGAGGTAAATAATTCACACCGTCAAACGAACGCGACGAACGTTTCCGGCAATCTAAAAGCGATAGCTGCGTTCTCAATCTCCCCATTCCGCCCGTTTCTCCGATCTCGTCATCCACGTCGATTTGACTCCTCGCTATATCGGACGGAGGAGAATTCGCATTAAGAGAAATGGACCATGGGAGTAGCTGTTTTTCGACGCGCCGGAAGAAAATCCAGCGTCGTGACGCGAGCGTCGCGCGTCGCCGTGCGTGACGACCAACGGCGCGGCGTTCGATGCCATCGATCGCGCGGCATCCTGATCGATATGCGCGTGTCGCAGGGCGAAAGAAACGGACGAGTCGGGCGATCTATTTTTTCGTTCCCCCTCCGCAACGAGCGGGCACCATTAGTCCGGGATTGGCCAATATGCGCTTGAGCGAGCACCACGACGCTTTTTGCACCGGCTGGACCGGTTGAATAATTGTGTTTTGCAACGTCCGCGGGAGCCGAACTGCCGGGCATGGATCCAAAGAAGAATTAAGCAAAGGGGAAACTTGAAAAGCGGACCTATAAAAGGTACAATGCTATCGGGCGGATCGCGCAGTTTTTGGGGCGATCGCGGGTCACGCGGATTGATCGGGTTTTTGCGCAAAAAGGAACACGTGTCGCGACATTGACTGGCATTATGGCCTGCGAAGTGAGTGCACGTTGCGTGATTATCCACCTGTCGTCCCTGTTGCGATCACTAGGCGACTTTAGCGTTATCTTGTAAGGAGGTGTTAAAGCCATGTGTGTCAGCGCGTCATGATCCTCACGGGAAAGCCGGACGTGTTCGGGATTTCGTTGGTTCTCGCGGTCAATTTTACTCTCGGCAAGTCTGTCCTTTTTTCCATCTTTGCTTAATGTATTACATACGCAGAGCATTTTTCGTAGAGAACAAAGATATAAAAGTTTATTAATTGCAAAAATACTATAGTAGCCATGCCCGGTTAGGATATATTTATAGAACAAATTTCAAAAAAATTTAGAAAATTTAGAGAGCAAAAAAATTGTGTGACCAGAAATAATTTTAATCAAGAAGTGCAGAATTTTTCCAATAGCTTTGTAACGTGTGTGAGAAAATTCCTATACAGAATATATTTTTTCCTTTATATAGTGCGTTACTTTAATGCCACTTACAGGAAAAAGTTTGATTGAATTAACCTAACACAAATCAACCGATTTTGGTTGAAGAAAACAAAATTACTAGTTCTTGCAATCAAATTTGATTTATGTGAATTAGAAATTCTGTTTCCTCTAACTTTAAGTCAATTTAATCAATTTATTTGTACAAACATTTCTTAGCAAATAATGACAATTAATAGGACGCATTCGACATGGTTACGATTATCCATCACCGCCTAGAAGCGCGGTGATACCATACATACATTCATATAAAACAATATAATCTTATTATTAGCGAAATCCTCGGAATATCTTGAATATAAAAGAACTTTATTCTTATATATAAAGAAAGAGAGAAAATTCTTTTAAAATTAAAAGGAAAATATTCTAAACACAATATTCTTAAAGTTAAAACAATCTACAGTAGATTTTTATCTACAGTATTAAATAACATTATTCTATATTTTTGTCTGCAATTTTTATCTGCAGTAGAAGTCTTGCTTGTCGCACATGAAAGGGCATTCTGCTTCAAGTAAATATATTTCTCTTGATTCAAAAAAAAAAAAATTAAAAAATATCTATTAAATTTCCTATTAATAGCCCACATATACATTTCGTTAGAAGAAGAATATTCCTTCGATAAAAGTTTTCGTTTAGGATATAATACGTTTAGATAAATTACCAAAAATAACATCTCTCTCTCTCTCTCTCTCTCTCTCTCTCTCTCTCTCTCTCTCTCTCTTTCTTTCTCTCTTGCAAATAAAGTTCTTTTTTTACATGTAACAATATTTGGATGTAGTAGTATGCGTTATACAATAGTTATTACCCGAGATAAATTTCTTTCCATTTTGGTACTAAAAAGAACGAGTAATCTAAGCTGCAACACGTCGAAAATACATATATCACCATAGGACAATTTCTATTTCTTTAATATTTTCTTATACGTATTGTAAGTTTATATTACATCATATTAAAAAATATATGTAATTAAACTATTCGTTTATTGCTGTCATACATAAAGTTTAGCTTGAATATGAATCGTGCAATACATAATATAAAGTTTTAACCGTGATTTTGTTACAAACTTTAAGGAGTAATAGGATCAATATGAACAATTTTCATATAGAAATCCATATCTGGAAACGTTTGAGAGTTACAAGCCTTGATACGTATAATAATCAATCCAAATAGCACTGCAGAATAATAATCTAAACCTTTGATTATTGCATTATGAACTATTAATTAATATAAATTAGTTATTTAATAAATTAGTTTATTACAATTCAATAATTCTTATATAAGAATTGCTCATACTGATCGCCTCTACCATCCCTTAAAGTTTATAACAAAATCACGGTTACATTTTATATGTATGTATATATCTATATAATAGAATATCTATCTGTCTCTTTGTATATTTCTTATAGACTTTTAAATCTTTTGACCAATCTGGACTATATTTTGTATAGTTACTCTCTAGGACTATGCGGAAAATATGGACATAAAATCTAGAAACTCCATCTCCTTCCTCTGATTTCATCCCCTTGTCACTTTGTAATAACCCAACACCGAGTAGTTTAAATTAGATTTATCTATTATATTATTCAACAAAAATGTTCTATGCGACAACAAAATGCTATCTAAAATTGCACGACTTCTCGATTAAAAATTTTCTGATATATAATGTGTTGATATTCTTAACTAAAATTTTGATGGAAATCTTGATGGAACACTTATTTATAATGAGGTTAGATCAACAATTATGCAAAGAAAGGTACCTGAGGAAATTATTTTTCTATGCTTTACACGAGAAGAGAATGGCGTAATGCATATAAAAGTAAATGGTTATTACTATAATTTGCTTGTTCACAAAGTGCACGTAAAGAGAGATGTTTCTGAACGAAACGAAATTCGCTTAGAGAACGAAATTCTCGAAGAAAACAGTGTCAAACAAACGTCTCGACTGCAGTTTCTATCAACACGTATTTTAATTAAAGTTTATTTTACGGTTCACTCGCCAAGACACTTTGAATATCGAAAAGAATATATGTCTAATAATAGTTTTCATTGGAGTTCTCGACAAAGATAACTCATCCTCGAATTTCCTTACTCTTATTATCTTTTTTGCCCAGTCTAATCCGTTTCCTTTGTTCCTTGGTAATTCACCTACCTTTTCCCGCTTACGTTGTTATACCCGTGAATTCTCTACTCGGCTGTTTTGTTCTTCCACTTATCTTCACCCATCTTTCAACATAACCCGCGTGTTTCTCTGTTTTCTGTCGGCTAATACTCACCATCCTACGCGTCACATTTCTACGACTAAAACCTCGCTGCAGTTCTTACGGTTCTTCCTTCGAGGACTTCGTCCAAGATGCTTTCGTTCTTCCTCTCGTTTGCTTAGCTACCCAGCTTCTTCCGTTATCCCGATGCGCCTGTAGCACCTAACTTTTTGTTTTCTAAATCGCACTCCGTATCTCACCACCAGCGTTTCATTTGCGAGAACTTGATTAACGAGATCAAAGTGCTTCTTGTCAGCTCATCCTGTCCGTACTGGTGCTTCCGACCTTGCTCCTGGTTAGTGCGAAACCGGATGGATACGCGCACTCTTTCCAGCACTTTCACGGGCCGGTGATGGGCGACGACCACGGAATCAACTGGATGGACAGTCACGGGCGTCACCATGAGGACTACGTCGCTCATCCGCATTATGCCTTCTCGTATGGAGTCGAGGACCGCCATACGGGCGATTATCACGGTCAAAAGGAACACAGGGACGGTAAGCTCGTGTAGTTTGAATGGAGATTAATCTCCTCCGTCTCGAGAGGATCCTTCTTGTCTTCTCGTACGTACCGCGAACGAGGAGAATAAGAATAACCTACTTACGTACGCGGAATCGCGATGCCCCGGGAACTCCGAAAGAGAAAAAGCTGACAAATGTAGCGAAGCGAACGTAGAATAGACTGATTGTGCGAATAAAAGTGGCAACGTGACCTTTGCTTGAGCAATTTTATAATGTTGCTCTTAGAATACTCAATGAAAAGTTGCGACATGGTAATTCCTTCGAGTTGACTTACACGCGATTCCGTCTCTCCTCATGCCTCGAACAAACGGCCAAAGACGTTAGGAATATTTTATTTCAGACGCTTATGTGTGTATATATACGTGGTTTTGTTGCGTTAGGAACAATATTAAAAGAACAACAACTAATATGCGATCCGCATTTTTTCCAATAGTTTGAATGTGTAGAGGGACGATATTTTTCCACGAATATACACTCGAAATAACAACTTCACATGCAGCTATTTCATAACTTTTCCAGTTTATTTAAAAAACACGCGCGTTGATAATTTTAGTATTTCAATAATTTGTTTCAGACACGAGGAAATATGATTCATTTTGATTTAATAAGTCTATAATTTGCTAAGCAAAATTTAATGTTATAATTAAAGCAGAGACATTTTTGCTAATGCAGCAAAGAAATTATGTGTGGAAACAATTGTCAATTTGCTCCTAAAGCAAACTGATTTTTGTTGATATTATCATAATTAATGCAACGAATCATTTCGTATTTTAAGCAAATAAAGTTTGCGCACGAAACAACTTTATTATACGTATAATTTTACTGAGCAAATTATACATTTATTTGACGAATAATAAAGAAATATTTTTGTTTGTTTTATGGAAAAGTGCCTTATTCCGGATGTAAATGTCCGTAATGGGAAATATGTTATTATACGTTACGCAACTTAAGTTTGTCCTTTTATAGTAATAACTGAATGTACTTGTGATATATTATATTGTTATAAATTATATGTATTTTTATGTATATGTGTATAATTTACATTTATAATATTTTATTATACTATATAATATTTAAGTAGTTGCAGAATAAATATTCCACACATTTCAATTAGCAATGTTGTCTTAACTAACTTTTGTTGCTTTCTGGGACAATTAATTATTAAACTATAATGAAATCCATTAATATATGGAATTTCCTTTAATGTAACAACGAAAAAATTAGTTGCATATATCAAACTACATTTTCTCTCATTTGCGATAGAGAATCGTCTTTGCTAACAAATCGGTCATGCTATAATATGAAACTTTATTAGGTACAACTACATATCTTATGTAGCTCTGCAACTTAGTTACTGTAGCATAACAAACTAACTGTCCGTATGTTACAGCTATAGATCTGTTAAGTTAGAGAGATTCTCATTTGCGACAAAAAATTTGTTTTTTTCGTGAAACAATCGTCACGCGTATGTGTCACTGTAAGAGAAATTTCTGCTAGAATGAAACGAAATTTCTCATAATGCCAAGACAAATATTATTTACGATGGCCTAGTTTTTCATAATTTCCTAATGGCATTTCCACAAAGAGTATTTTTTTTCTATATAAAACGAAGTCATCGAGCGTCGTCAAGTTTTAACTGGAGCGAGAGATTTCATAGCAACGCTCCGAGAGAAAAGTTAGGAACGATAAAAGTGCTCCTAAAAACCGCGCTTCGGTATTCCTGCCCTCAAAGGCAGACGTGCATCGGCTGAAAAGTTTATAATCATATAACACTTAGATAGCGGCTGTTGATAAAGGGATCTCTGCTCCTCCCTCCTCTTTTTCTCTTTCTCTCTTTTTGAGCAATTGCGAGCGCACTATTGCCGCTTCTTTTCAATTAAAGTAACTAAAGCCGATCGCGAGTTCTGTACATTGTGGTTTTAAAGTGATACTGTAATTAATCCTTACATTAAAAAAATGTTTTTACCAGTCCATGTAAAATTCTAAATGTCATAGTTAAAATTTATCGCTATTTTTTTAATTTGTTAAAAAATTGCCTATGGCACATAGAATTGACAGCAGCAGCATTCTATCAATTCTGCAAGCAAATATAAGTGGATGTGCGGATTATCAGAATTGAGAACGTTACTTCAAAAAAGTAACACATTACCATTACTTTTCAGTTTTTTACAGTATTTTTTACAGTAAATAGTAAATCGTACCCGTTACTCGTTGTTAATTTTAAATAATAGCTCGGTATCGTTACCGTTACAAAAAAATAACAGACTAATAACAAAATAACATTATTACTTTTTCGTTACTTTTTAATAATATTAAAATAAAATACGTAATTAATTTTAAAATAATAAAATAAATATTGTTTTTGAGCTTAAATTATGATTTTTAGTGTAGTTAGTTCATCTAAAAAGAGCAAATTGCAATAATCAAAACTGCAATCATCCCGACTTGGAGGACTAACATTTGTTTATAAGCATAATTTTATCTTTTCATTTTTTATTATTCTTCACACAAAAATTATTATCGATACAGAGCCAAATTTTGTAATTTGACTATTAACAATTTTTAATAAATTTAATAATTGGTATGCTTAATATATATATACACGAATATATATATATATATATATATATATATATATATATATATATATATTATATTGTTACATTAAAGGAAATTCCATATATTAATGGATTTCATTATAGTTAAATAATTAATTGTCCCAGAAAAACAACAAAAGTTAGTTAAGACAACATTGCTAATTGAAATGTGTGGAATATTTATTCTGCAACTACTTAAATATTATATAGTATAATAAAATATTATAAATGTAAATTATACACATATACATAAAAATACATATAATTTATAACAATATAATATATCACAAGTACATTCAGTTATTACTATAAAAGGACAAACTTAAGTTGCGTAACGTATAATAACATATTTCCCATTACGGATATTTACATCCGGAATGGGGCACTTTTCCGTAAAACAAACAAAAATATTTCTTTATTATTCGTTAAATAAATGTATAATTTGCTCAGTAAAATTATACGTATAATAAAGTTGTTTCGTGCGCAAACTTTATTTGCTTAAAATACGAAATGATTCGTTACATTAATTATGATAATATCAACAAAAATCAGTTTGCTTTAGGAGCAAATTGACAATTGTTTCCACACATAATTTCTTTGCTGCATTAGCAAAAATGTCTCTGCTTTAATTATAACATTAAATTTTGCTTAGCAAATTATAGAATTATTAAATCAAAATGAATCATATTTCCTCGTGTCTGAAACAAATTATTGAAATATTAAAATTATCAACGCGCGTGTTTTTTAAATAAACTGGAAAAGTTATGAAATACCTGCATGTGAAGTTGTTATTTCGAGTGTATATTCGTATTATATATAATAAACACACTTTTTCTATAGTTTCTTACAAAAGAGTGAATTACAATAAACAAACCTATTATTAAATTTATTAAAAATTTTTAACAGCTAAATATTGCAAAATCCGACTTTATACTAACAATTATTTTTACATGAAGAATAAGACAAAACCACGTACTGTCTTCCAGCGAATATAAAGATATTTCTATCCAACCAAGAATACCATAACTGACGTTATCAGCGCGCGACCAGTGTACCATTTATTGAATAGAGATAACTAAAGTAAACGATAAAAATAATGAATTCGTTACCGTTACCGTTACAAAAAAAGAAGAAAGTAATAATCGTTATCGAAAAAATATAACGATAACGATGTTACAAATAATGCGTTACTTTCCAACTCTGAGGATTATACAATTATTCGTGTCTCATCACTAAACTTTTTCATCTACCATAGCCAATTTTTGTAGTAAGTATGACTGGTTTTAATCTGGGTGCGTGCCACAGAGAGATTTTCTTACTAAATTTCTCAAGTAATTCAGATAGAAATTCTATTTCTATCATTTATCGATCGAATTCAAAGTATATGCAATTTCGCAATGTTTGTAGGTCACTTATCCACCTTAGCTAATTCTTTGTTTAGATCATTCTTGCTACGTCTGCAAAATAATTTTTTTTAGTGTGACAATAAATATTAAAACATATTGCGATAATATATATAAAATTTATGTATATTTTGACGCAGCACACATAAAAACATAATTTGATGGATGTTCAACGAATACTTATCAGAATTAAATTGAAATTTGTCCACACTCGATAAATGAATCTCGTTTAAATAATCAATTATTCAATTATATTATTATTATTATTATTATTATTATTATATTAGTATTATTCAATGTTTGATGAGAATGCTACGTATTTCATTATTGTGCAATAAAAATATCAATTGTACCGCTTCAAACCCAAAAAGCAAGATAAAAATCCAAATTAAATAAAAACGTTGCGAATTAGCTGTTTCAAGCAAATTGTTTATATAACAGTTTCTTTACTTCTTATATTTTTATTCTAATATTAATTGAATTTAAACAAATATAATTTTATTCACAAGCTTTCTGTGCAAGTATTCTACATAAGCTCTTAAAACATACAATTAAATTATACATTTTATTAGGCAAATAAAAACACTGGTGTTAAAGCGAATATATTTTTATTAAATGTTGAGAAGATAATAATATTTGATTGTGTCAACGCACGCGCCAGATAGGTTTTCCAGTCTTTGTAATAAATCTACTTTCCACGTCAAATCGATTCCAAATACCAATTTTTAATATTAATATTAATTAACTCCTTCTAATTACTATAAGATTACGTACTTTTTATTCCAAATTATTCCAAATTAATTACAAAAAAAAATATATTCGCTCTAACATTAGCGTTTTGCTCTTACATGCTTAATAATATTTTTAATTTAATTAAACGAATGTTTTAACAAACAAAACATATATCGTATGAATAAATAAAAAATTTTTATACATTGTTTTAATGAAACATAAAATAAATAATTTAACGGAATATTTTTAGGATATTTTAAACAGTCTATTATCTATTATCACTTTGATAATAGTACAGATTAGTCATGTTGGCTCTACAACATCTTAGAGTTTTTCGTAGAAAAAAGTCATGTAACAAGATAAGAAAATACGACAATACGAGCCGCTACTGATTTCTGAAAAGATACGGAAGCGTTTTGTATTCCGTCGTACTCGTGTAAGTCTCGATTCGTCTTCATAAAAAAGAACGACAATGCGCGTCCCAAATGTGCCAGCTTTGCGTAGGGCAGCGCAAGACAAATAACTCCTACGTCGACATTTTGCAGGTACGGAAGTGTTCGGCGAGTACACCGTGATGGAACCAGATGGCAACATCAGAACGGTGAAGTATCGCGCGGGTAAAGACGGATTTCACGCCCAAGTGCACAACAGCCACCAAAGCGGTCATCACGATGCTCCTTCTCACCATCATCATCATCATCCTCACGAATATCATTAGCACGCGCGACCAAGTGCCACGTTCCCACGTCGAAGACGAAGTACGATGGGGATACTTTATTGTTATATCGCGATAATCTTTGTTCTGCAATTGCAGGTGTCTCGTTTATGTTGCAGTCATTAAAAGATCACTTAAATAACGTTGTCATTTCTCTTTCCTCAGTGAAAAGACACTCGTCTAGTTTTACGGCTAGTTTCGCAATACTGAGCCGTTATCACGAAAGTCTTTCAATATCGCGAAGCGGCTTTTACAGTCGTTGCGAGAGCGTAATAACTTAGCCAATCGCACAATTATCGAGCAAAATTTCTGCGAAAGAAATAATCAGCGATATTGGATAGTTATTAGTCCAATTTCCAGGCGGTACCGTTTGGGGGTTCTACAAAAAATGGTCTTGCGACAATGTGCCATAAAGTGAGATGACTTGCAATCTATTTACTATTCGTCTCGAATATTAAACTGTCTCGTCGAGTTTGTAATATCATTAGAAGATGTCATAACAAGACATTTGATTAAGCGACATATTTAGAATTAATCACTCCAGAAAAAGAAACCTTTGATTAAACAGACATTAATATAGTAACAGTTTTAATTTTCTTAGATTGCACAGGGGAGAAATGGTACATTTTTTAAAACTTCGACGTTACAACTTCTCATACAACTAATTATAGTGATTGCCTGTACAAACATAATAAAGACAAACTTCCTCTACGTTTTTATGCGCGATAATAAAAAATGTAGCATTCTCATCAACGTTAAATAAATATGATTATTTAAATTTTGTTTATTTTATTTAAATTTTCATTATTTGATTTTGTAAACCATGTAATTCCTTCTGTAATAAGCGAAAGACGAATATGCTGTAACGTGAATATCTTGCCCAGAAGTACTGGGTTAAGTTGATTAGCAATTTAGAGTAAAGAAGATTACATATAAGATATGTATCCTAATTAATAATCTCCGTGAGAAAGATATTTATAGCTATGCCGTTCCTCAAATGATACGTTCAATTTCAATCACTTTATGGACGACCTACGGTCTTCCCTACTTTACTAATGCACCTGATGTGCGCTCATCTGTCGGCGTAGATTTATACTTAATTTTTTGTTGACACACTTATTTTTTGGTGTTTAGTTTACTCGCTCCCTTTTCCCACTCTATCTCTATCAAATTCAGTAATTTTTCTAGTATGCATTTATTTAAATATCTATGAATGTTCTTATCCACTACAAAGATATTGTAGTTTTGTAGTATATACAAAAAATAAGTTTGAAAAATTTGTCGCAATCATTATTTTAAAATAGATTGTGTATTGATTCTACACAGAAAAGTATAAAAAATTGTATATTTAAAAAAAATAACCTTATGGTATTATATGTATAATGATTAAGATTAAAGGATTTTTAGATTTCATTTTAAAGTCGCGTTTATAAAATTAAATCGTGCTATATGTTTGGTGGAGCGAAACAGAAGAAGAACAGAAAAAAAACAGAAAAAGACTTCAAGGTGCATCCACTTACTGCTCACTTGTCTACCCTCGTACAACTCGAGCGGCACTCATAAATGATTGCTACGTACCGTAGTGAAAGGATATCGCGATAGGCATTCAGCAAATAGGCGCAATACTCGAAATTCAATTTGTTACATGGCCTATGCACGTCGGATATTGTTTGCTCCAAATTACTTCCCGTTCTCTCCCGCGAAGGGCCCGGAATTGCAGAAATTCGTAGCTACAATCGAAAACCAATATACGGAAACAGCCGAATGCCGAAACTCTAGAGGACACAGGTTTTTTATAGCGGATGTAACGTCCGCCGATTAACAATCTGATTAAAGCGCCACTGTGCAAATCTTGTAACGGTTAAATTACTGCGCCCGTCGGTGACAGACGTGCGGAATTGTCAACTAATATCCGCTAATCATTACGCTTTGTTTAGTAGGCTAATCGTTTGTCTGCCGCGATTTTGTCGTAATACATTGCGTGATGGATTTTAAAATAGCCATTATTTTGAAACTGGAACTACTAAAGAGAATAATGTAATGTAATAATAATTACCGTTGTTTAATGTATCGAAATATAACCTAATATCGTTGAATATATGAATAGGGTAAGTCATCTAACGACAAATTTTTAAATATGTCTGTTGTTTTTATATTCAAGGAAAAGAACTAATTTTATATTATAATTTTATTTATAATTTTATATTATAATTTTATATTATAATTTTATATTATAATTTTATATTATATAGTTAGAAGAAGTAAATATTGCAATAAGATAAAAAAATTAAAGGTTCCACTGATAAACAATCAAGAAAAATTGAAAGTTTTAAGTCAACAAGAATCTATGCATAATTTAGGTTCTAGACTAGTCTATTGTACTATAAGACTTATGTATAAGTCTAATAGTGTAACAGACAATAAGAAATATACAATATTTAAAATAATCAAAGTATTTATTTTATTATATCACTATAATACTCTTCAATGGTAAACAAATATAAGCCAAACACAGTCACATAATTTTTTAAGAAGTTATAAGTCAAAATAAGTTTATTAAGAATTCGTTGAAATTTGCACCATATATAAATTGAAATATTATCTAATTGCTCATATAATTATAAAAGGATTAATCACTCAAGAGTTAAAATATTTGAAACTAAAGTTGATATTTTTTATACGCGTTTCTTGGAATTGGAGCATTACTTTTAACTTTTATTTTTAATTTCTTGTAAATTACAATTAGCATTTTAATGAACAACAACTATGATATTGAAAACAAATATATCGATGTTATATACAACTTTCAGAATTATTCATCATTTTGTTTGGAAAATATAGCGTGTGAAAGTTTATAATTCATAGTAATATTCAAGATACATACATATATATATATATATATATATATATATATATATATATA